ACTTTGGGATGGTCTGGGGGTGCAGGGGATGCTCTGGGGGGGCTCTGGCCTGCAGGGGATGCCCTGGGGGTGCTCTGGGGGGGCTCTGGGGGTACAGGGAATTCACTGGGGGTGCTCTGGGGGTGCTCAGGGGGGGCTCTGGGGGTGTGTGACCCCTCTGGGCATCCCAGGGCTCTCCAGATTCCCAAATCCCAAGTGCCTGCCGATCCCCGTGGTGCTCCGGACATTTGGGATTTGGGAATGCGGCTCCTGGGCTGGAGGGAGCTCAGGGGAGACCCCGAAATTCCGGGTTTGGGAAGAGCCGAGGGCGGCCGGGAGCGGGATCCCAACAGTGCCGGGAGAATGTGGGATTTGGGTGTAATTACAGCAAATTGGGAAAGAGAAAATGGCACAAAGCTGCGCCTCACCATTGGCTCCGGCGCTGGAGCGCACGGAGAGTGAGGAAACGCGCTGGAGAACCCGGTTTTCCCACTTTTCCTCTGCCATCCAGGCCTTTCCCACCGAGCTCCGTGTCCCGGAGGAGGCTGTGGGCACCCCGGAGGCGCAGCGGGGACCCTAAAAAGGAGTCTCCCAAAAAAGGGAGAGGGCGTGGGGACCTCAGCAGCGCCTCGGTCACCTCGAGAGGGGAAAAACCAAATGGATCCGGGGCTGGGGAAAGGCGATAAGAGCCGGGGCTGGGCAGGGGACAGGTCCTGCCGGGCCGGCGGCAGCTCCGGCACCGCGGCTCGGCCACAGCCAGCCCCCGTCTGCTCTCAGCTCGGGCTGGATTTCACAACGGGAATGACTATTTATTGTTCCTTCCTGGGAAATAAATAGATGGGAATTAAGCAGAAAGGTGTGGCGAGCGTTTAATTGGAGACAGGAAATGTGTCAGGTCGGGCTGATGGGGGGGAAAGGGGAGCCGGGGCTCCCCGGTCCAGTTCCCATCCCCAGCTCCCTCGCCAGGCTGGGAATGTGCCCCGGGACTGGGGACTCCCGGCTCCCCGGCCCTGCTGGGACACCGAGGTGACAATTCCTGCCACCTGAGCCGGCCTGGATGAGTCTGGAATGTTCTGGAGGTGACAGGAGCAGCCCAGCCCGTGCCAGGACGGCCGGTGCCCCTCGGTGAGGGCACAGCACCGGGACACCCATCCCGGGGGTCACCAAACACCCCAAACCCAGCGCTTGGCCCCTCTGGAAAGGCTCCCGTGGTGCGGAGCTCATCCAGGAGACAGCGAACACCTCCCGAGCCTTCACCTGGGGGAGCCAGAGCGGGGGGGACCCCCGAGCTCCCCGGGGTCCCGGGGGCGCTGGGATGGGCCGGGCCGGTTCGCGGCTGCTCCGAGCGCACGCACACGCCCTGGATGCCTTGTAAAAATAAGGGCCTGGATGTGGTTGTGACATCTGCCAGGGGAGCAGGGCGATGAAAGGCCGTGATTCAGGCGTGAGCTGTTTGCCTGCAGGGTCCGGGAGGGATTCCCACCCTCCCGGGATGTTGCATCAACGCCACGACAGCGGAGCATCTCGGCCCAGAACAGGTTTGCTTCCTCCCGACCGAGATTAGGAAGAGGCCGGGGGAGAGCTGGCGTGACACGTTTTTTCCGGGACGGGAGCTCCAGGGGAGCCGGTGGCTCCCGCCTGTCATAAATCACCTCCTCCTTTGCATCCCCAGATGTGCCCTCCCCGATAAGGCCGGGATCTCATCTCGCCATCGAATCGCTCTGGGAGACACCAGGCCTGCAATTTGCAGAGGATAATTAATTATGGATGGGACTTTACAAGCCCAGCTCCCAGCTGGGGAGAGCCTCATCCGTCCCAGTCAGAGATGTCCGAGTGCCGGACAGGGGCTTCCAGAGCCCCAAACCCGTGCCAGCCCCTTCCGGCCGCCAGAACAAGTGGTTTTGGTTCAAATAAAGGATTTTATTTGGGTGGTTTGGAGCTGGGGATGGCTGGGATGGAGGAGCCGGGTTTTCACTGGTGGATTTCCAAACGCTGGGATCGGGAGGGAATTCTGCGCCCCCTCCCCACCCCGTGGAGCCTTTTGGGGTGTTCCCGTCACCCCAAACCCGAGCGGCCCCCGGGAAGGAGCCGGGGCCGGCTCCCTGCTCGCTCCGACCCGTCCCGGTGTCGCAATCCCAGGGATCCATTTCCCAGGTAAGCGCCGGGCTGGGAACGCCCTGGGAACGTCAGGGAGGGGTGGGAGCCTCCTTAAAAACCCGGCTGGGCCGGAGGGATGGGTGCGAGGTGAGGAGAGAGCGGCGACATCGGCTGAGGCCACAGCGGCGACCGACGGACACAGCGGGACCCCCGGCAGGATGCAGGTGAGGCTCCCGGGGGATTCCCGTTCCCCCCGGGATGGGAACCAGGCCTCGGGCTGAGCAATTCACCTGGAAGAGCCGCGGGATGTGCCGCTGCAAGGCCGGGAGGTGGAAATTCCTGGAATCCTTGGGCAGCTGAGAGCGGGGCCGGGCTGGAGGGACCGGCCGGGGTCACCGGGGGGAACCGGGCTGGGCCCCGGGATGTCCGGAACGGCAGCGGCAGCACCCTCGGACCTTCCCTGGCGCTGCGGAGCTCGGCCTGGGGCAGCCAGCGGGGTCTGGCTCCTGGAAAAGGGGATTTGGCAGCGGGG